AGGGAAACCTGAACGGTGATCGAGCCCCAGGCATCCAGAGTCCCCCTCCCTCTGGTCCATCCAGAAGTCCCCCTCCCTCTGGTCCAACCAGAGTCCCCCTCCCTCTGGTCCATCCAGAGTCCCCCTCCCTCTGGTCCAACCAGAGTCCCCTCCCTCTGGTCCATCCAGAGTCCCCTCCCTCTGGTCCATCCAGAGTCCCCCTCCCTCTGGTCCATCCAGAGTCCCCCTCCCTCTGGTCCAACCCAGAGTCCCCCTCCCTCTGGTCCATCCAGAGTCCCCCTCCCTCTGGTCCATCCAGAGTCCCCCTCCCTCTGGTCCAACCAGAGTCCCCCTCCCTCTGGTCCAATCAGAGTCCCCCCACCTCTGGTCCAACCAGAGTCCCCCCACCTCTGGTCCAACCAGAGTCCCCCCACCTCTGGTCCAATCAGAGTCTCCCCTCCAGCAGCTGGGTTAGCTTAGCCTCCATCTCCCTGGGTCAATTGGGTGGTGTCTGGTCCTGCGGGTGCGGCCGGTTGGCGTGCTCATTGACTCCTCCCCCTGACCCCTTCGTCCGCTCCAGGTCTCAGGTGGTCTACTTTGCCCCATTGAGCAGGAACGCGGCTCATCCCAGACCGTGAGATCTGACCTCCCGCCCCGTGGCCTCCAACATCAGGACACAAGGCTGTTGGCTGTCACGCTCACGGGGGAGATGATCAGGCGCGAGTCCCTGACGCGTTTACCTAAAGCCGCATTAGCATCATTAGCATCATTAGCACTGGTTTGTTTCCAGCATCACGCTGTGATTAAGAGCATCAGTCGTATAACTGGTTCGTTAGAGCGGCCGGTCAGCTGTGTGTGTGTGTGTGTGTGTGTGTGTGTGTGTGTGTGTGTGTGTGTGTGTGTGTGTGTGTGTGTGTGTGTGTGTGTGTGTGTGTGTGTGTGTGTGTGTCTGTCTGTGTGTGTGTTTGTGTGTGTGCCTGTCCCAGCAGGGCGCGTGTAATCGGAGGGCGGAGTCAGGCTCACGATGCTGAGCCCCCGTCCCCTCGTCACATGACGCCCGCTCCAACGCAAAATATAAAATATCACCTCTTGAATCTTTTCTTCCAAATAAGGGCTTTGTTTCCTCCCAACCCGCTGACATCACGGTGACAATAAATGTGGGCGTGGCGCTTCCTTCCCGTCCACGAGCGGGCGAACCCCGGCGCCTCCCCAGGAGGAGGAACCTCGGCGGCTGAAACGTTCCACTGATGCAGAGTCAAGGACGCACAAAGTCCTCAACCCCCCAAACCAGTTTCTCTCCTGGACACCACAGCTCAGCGGTGTGCAGATCCCAGAGCTCCGCAGGGAGTCTTGTTTTAGCCGTAGCAGCTAGCATAGCAGCTAGCATAGCAGCTAGCATAGCAGCTAGCCGCACTCGGGTTCAGCCCGCCAGACGCCTTTCTTTTGGTCTGGCTGTGATATCTGCTGGTCTCCGGCTCAGCGTGTGGCGTTCGCTGCTCAGCGAGCGGAGCAGCGGCTTTAACGGAGAGAGCTCATTGGACGACAGAGAAGCTAAGAGGCCACATCTGGAAAGGAGCCTTGAGAATGAAACCTGTGTCCAACAGAAAGGTGCAAGAGACAATAATACATTTTATTTGTAACCCAGTCTTCATCTACAGATCTCAGCGTGTGACAGTAAGTAAAGTAAGTAAGTAAAACGGAGGGAAAAACCCTTGAGATGTAGTGGAAAACGCCCTCCTGAATAAGAAGGTTTTTAGGCCAGTTTAAAGAGTCCGGTTTCCTGCCAGGATGTTGAACCTGCATGAGCTTCTCCTCCTCACGTGGAGCAGCTCGTTGCGCCTCATGATGACGTTCAGCCGCTTCTGAGCACATGAGACACTTTGGTGCTGCAGGAGGAAGTCTGAGCAGAAAAGAGTCCGTCCACTCTGGATTAAACGCGCTACTTTGTCGCTCGCTTTCCTCACCCGTCTTTCTCTCTTCGTTGCCCCGTTTCTCTTCTTCTTAACGTCTTTTTATCTGTAATTCGTCGCTACGTCTCGTTTGTCTGCAGCACCGAGACGATATCGTCCTGCCTGGAATGCAAGGACTCGATTGGTCGAGTAGTATCACGTGGGACGGTTTAACTCGAATGCTATTGGTCGGTGCTTCAAGTCACTACCGTAAAGACGACCGAAGCTGCACAGTCAAAAAGTGCGCTGCGTTAAAATCACAAGCGTCTTTTAGCTTTCGGTCCATCAGAGTGGATGGATGGATCTGTCTCTTTGTCTCTGTCTCTTTGTCTCTGTCTCTAGACTTTACAGCTGTTGCTGCTCACGAAGAACTATTTGTTTACAATAACAAAGATGGGTTGATGACTTTATTTGTCTGAATCAGTATTCACGAGTACTAGAATCCATACAGTTAGATCGATATTGACCATAAGACGTCTCTCTAAATGAAACCTTTTCCCCCTTGAAGCCAACAAAGTGGAGCTGTGGAGCTTCAGATGCTCCTTTGTGCTCCTCCACCTCCTCAGCTCCGCTGGGCCGGGTTACTATGGCGATGGAAGTGGCTCTCGCCGGGGGGGCAGACGGGTTTGCTTCAGACGGACGGAGACAGAGGAGTGTGTGACAGTGATTAATGTCCTGGTAGAAACGGAGACCACGGCCCCCCCCCCCCCCTCTGAACACCAACACAACGAGGCAAAGTTTAATCACAACCCTGTGGATTATTATTCCACACAAATCTATTACTTCTGTGCCTGGACTTGGACGGATGGAAGCCAGAGGAAATTGGTCCTCTTGTTATCGTCACCTGGCCCTCGGGTCACTGTCACCTGGTCCTCTAATGAGCTGGTCCGCTAACGAGGAAGGAAAGGATGATGGGAGGCTGGAGGACAGCGTCTGCGTGATGGAGATAAGCAGCCAAGCGTGCAAACACAGCGTCTGGGTGGTGATGGAAAGCCTCCGGTATGTTCCTTCATAAGAAACACCTATTGCTGTGGATGGGTATTCTGAGACACACACACACACACACACACACCTTGTTCTCCCTTGATATTGGACACAGAAAGAAACCGTCTCAAAGCTTCGCCACGGCACCTGGTCCTCTTTCATGCCCCCCCCCCCCTAGTGTGGAGGCCTTTTGAGGATGCAGCTTTTTCGCACTCCAGCGCTCCTTCCCCTCCCTTTACTCGGCTACTCCCCCATAACACTGCACCTGAAAAGTGCGTGCGTGCGTGTGTGTGTGCCTGCGTGCGTGTGTGTGTGCGTGTGCGTGCCTGTGTGTGTGTGTGTGTGTGTGTGGCTTGCCATAAAAATGGAACACACATTTTGTACCTTTTGTAACTTTAATATAAACCGAGTCACAGAGGAGAAGTTCTGCCGTGAAGAC